GAGAGAGAGAGAGAGAGAGAGAGAGAGAGAACGCAAGCTCCAAGGCCAAGGGCCCTTGCTTACCACTTCAAAGTGTGCTCTTTAGTGACCAAAAGGAAGCCATGGTCTTCCTAGGACCCAGAGCTCTCCTGTGATGCCAACTGTCTTTTAACTCCACGAAGGCCAGCTACATAGGTGGAATTTGTAGGCAAAAATACCCAGGTTCATGTTTCAGCTCTAACACTTAAGTAGTTCTTACCTTCCTGGACCACAGTTATTTTGTTTATAGAATGGAAATACATGAGATCCATTTGACCAGTTCATTTTAGCTTGACCTAAGGAATTAGTGGGATTCCTCAGGGGTAAATGCCTATGAGCCCTTTAGGAGGCTTTCTAGTGGTCATCTCGGACCGCTATAGACCTAGATATATTCTGGAGAAATCTGAAATAAGCCTAGAACCTGAAGAAAATTGCAAGGAGAGCCCCAGAGGGATGACATTTTGCTATGTGAGTGATATGCTGGCATGGGTAAGTTGGCCTGGGATTTAAACTAAACTCCTTGTACACTTGTCTATCTAGAACCTGAAGAAAATTGCAAGGAGAGCCCCAGAGGGATGACATTTTGCGAGTGATATGCTGGCATGGGTAAGTTGGCCTGGGATTTAAACTAAACTCCTTGTACACTTGTCTAATGTGATGAATGTTGTGACTGATAATATTATTGTGATTTCCATCCTCTAGCTCCAACCAGCACCAGCCTGAGGAGCAGGGAAAGGAAGTTCTGCCTGGCCTCGCATCTGACTCCATTATAGCCTCCCTCCTTTCTTTCTGGATCCTGCATTCTTTCCTGAGCTGATCACAGCTTCTCCCTTTCCTAACCAATAAAGTGACAGCTTTCAGCACTGATGGAGCTGTGGCATCTGTTCTTATCACTGTCCCTGTTTCCCAGACTTAGGTTGAGATGAATGAGCCAGTGGGGGCAGTGACCAGATCATCCAAGTGTGAAGTCCAGGGGGGCATTCACTCAGAAGCAAGGAACATTCATGCAGGGTTTGGCTCCTCTGTGCTAGCACTTTCCAAGTGAATCCTTGCACTAAATCTTACACTATCGGTCATCATCTCTCACGGGTGATAGATGAGAAAACGGGCTCAAAGAGGTGATGGAAAGCCTCCAAAGTCACTCAGATTCACTGCTCTCATTCTGATAATAGCAGCAGCAGCAGCAGCAGCACCTACTACGTGTCAGACACAGGGCTACGAGATTTGCTCACGTAGCTGCTCAAAGCCCTCAGAGTAGTTAACACCCAGTGGTCATGTTCCTGTGGCCACACAGAAAACAAAGGTGACATCTTGGGATGGTTCCAACTCTTCTTTTAAACTTCTTTCTTAGACTTCAACTCATAGACTAGATTCTCATATGTTGCAGCATGAGCTTTCCTACACATCTCCATCGTGCCATGGTGAATGTCACTCACCGTGAGAGATTAAGAAGGGAGGAGGGAGCGTGGAGGTAGGTGTCGTGGAGAATAGGAGCCAGAAATGAGGCAGGTGGTCTCTCCTTTGGGGGAGTTCTCAGGAGGCTCACAGGACTTTGCCTCTTCTAGCTGGACAGAAGACAGTGGCCATGGGATATACTTAGGATTCTGTTTCACTTTTCCTAGAGAACAGCCAGGAATCCTGCATTCCAGTTTTCTCCAATTGACTGCTACTGTTACAGTGACCCAGCTTGGTCCTTCTCTGAGTCAGAGGGAGAAACATCTAGATGTATTTGCCTTGGCAGCATAACTTGGTGTCTTAAGATCATTTTAACAAAACTCATAACTTGAAATCAGTTCCCCGGGGAGATTTAAATATCCGTGGAAGAGAGTAGCATAGCAGTTTAAGACTTTGGTAGTGAACAAACATGAGCTCAGTGTCCAGCTCTGCCATTGTGCAATCATGTGGCCTTGGAAACATTGATGATTTCTTTTATCAGTTACTGAAGTTTATATATATATTATTTATAAAGAGTTTAGTGCAGTGGCTGGCACAACAAGAAGCTATTATTATTGCTTGGACAATGGAAAGCTGCTTACTTGGGCTTGAAGAGAGGATCCTGAGTAAGAGTGGAAGATAAAGAGAGTGCCCCAGTGAATATTCCTTCTTCAATTCTGCCCTCTGTCCCTGGATTCAAGGGAAATGTGGGAAGGTGATGGGGGGAGGGTTGCAATGTAGTGGAAATGACGTTTGGGGGGATCGAGGATGTCCCTGTTTTATTTCCACCCTGTGAATTTAAAGAAGCCCCTGCTCATCTTTGGGCTTCATCTACCTCTCTTGCAATAAATGAACAGATGATAGGCACCAATGGTTTTCTTCTCTCCCTCCAAACAGTAGTAATTGGCATGACTTAAGGCAAACCAATGAATTCCAGGGCAAGGGCCCTTCAGTCCCCTCCCCATGTGGCAGAAGGGTGTGCTATAACTTTGACTGTTAAGGGTTTTCATAAAAATCCACTCATTTTTATTCAAAATGGTGTTAAAAACTTTAGTTCCTCCCTCCATTCCCCTTTCTTCCCAAGTTTCTGTTGTAACCTTATCTCCTATGTCCCCAGATCTACAGTTCCAGTTTCCTAATTCACCCTCACTCCACTCCTTTAAAACCTCTATCTTTGAATGGGCAAAAACCATACTCAGGTGTGTATAGGTCTTCTATATTTTCCTGTAATATTTATTATGAGGACTGTAATATTGATTATGCCCAAAGCAGGCTGTGAAGAGTTAACCTCACAACTGGCTTGTTTACAGAAGTGAGTCTGGCTGAAGCCTACATGTCGAGCTCAGAGTAACTCACACCCAAATTCTGTTCCCACAACTAAAACTTTCAGACTAGAAGGGCAATGTTCTAATTACAATCCTATATTTTGTCTATTCTGTTCCTAACTTGAGATTGCTTTGTTTTATCCATTATGAGACTTTTTTACATTAATTTCCATAGAAACCACATGTTGTCTTTACCCCGATTGATTGCCCATAATATCGGTGCCTGGGACTGTCCAGAGCCTTTGTCAGTTACACCCACATTGGTCATCCTGGAGCCCTGCTTTCTCTCTCTTAGTTCTGTCTCTTAGTACATTCTTCCCCCTCAGGCCTGTGTCACACACTGGGCAGGTGGAGACTGGAACCTGACTACTGGGGTCTCTGACATTTTCCCAGTGTATTTGTACATGTGTATGTATTTTACAGACTCTTGAGATTTTAAACAAAATGGCATCATTTGTAGAGTTTCAGGCACAGAGATGAAGTGATTTTAGGAATACAACAGGGAGAATAAATTTGAGGGTGAAGAACTGCATCTCTTATTTACACACACGCACACACACGCACACACACACACACATTAAAAAGTGCCTTCAATGGCCCTTGAGCAATCCTGCCTCCGTGGAGGGCCGTGGTTTGCTAGGAAGTCAGATGACTTTGCAGATTTACTTACATATTTTTGCAAAAAAAAAAAAATTGTCGTTGTTGCCTTTGCTGCCACCATAGAGAATAACAGTCATAAGTATTTAAATTGTAAAACCATTTTTGAAAGATCCACAAGGGATCCTTTCTACAGATAGACTGGATATATTAAGGATGATATATTTAGGATTTTGGTAGGGTCTGAAAAAGGAAGTAGGGAAGAGAAGCCAAATCCATCACCTCCCCATCTGTTAGCCCTACTTGCAGGGCTGTTGATGGTCAGGACATGGTGATGAGCCTCTCCCCACCCACTGTTCTCTGGACTTCTTTCCAACCAACTTGGCTTTATCTAACTCTAGAAAAGGTGAATTTCTCACTTCTGGAAGTAGCCTTACATAGTGAAAGTCCCACGCTTACTTTGAATCCATACTCTAGATCTGCCATCTGCTACTGCAAATTCTCCAAATTTCCACTGCTTCATTTATAATATTAAGGAGTTGAACTCCATCATCAACTAGTGCTCTTCCATGTCTGATTTTCTAGAGTAAGATCTCTCAGGCTTCCACTCCTAGGCTGAGTCAATAAAAATGGATAGTTGGTGGGGAAAAGATAGGAAGTGACCTGAGAGTAGGATTCAGAGTTGATTTAGTAATTTTCTAGCTATGTGGCCGTGAACAAATGACCTATTTCATTAACCTTCAGTTTCTTTCACTGTAAAAGTGGATCTAATATCCACATCTTGGGCCTATTGAGGGATCAGAGATAGCCAGTGAAAAACATGGGTAAATAGAAAATAAATTGAGAAATGATGGCTGCTTTCCATCATTCGTTCCCTTCTTTAGCCACAGAGACTCTCAAAAATAAGGACATTATGCTCATTTCTGCAGCCCTAGTGCCCAGCACAGGCTGGCACTCAGTGCTCAGTAAACATTTGTTTTGTTTTTGTTTTTTGAGACAGGGTCTCACTATGTAGTTGAGACTGACCTGGAACTCACTATGTAGCCCAGACTGGTCTTGAACTCACAGCGATCCTCCTGCCTCAGCCTCCTGAGTGCTGGGATTACAGGTGAGCACCACCATGCCTAGCAGAAAATATTTGTTACCAGAAAAGAACAGGAACCATAAGCTCCTCTACAGCAGTATTAGAAGTTTCTTTGTATTCTCCTGTCACGTTCCTATCATTGTGTGAGTGGATTAATCCTTATAGTTAAACTCTTCACAGTTGCCCTATGATTTCAACATTTTATGAAAATATAAGACTGGAGAGATGAAGCACCTATCCTCATGTCACGCTAGGAAGCGATGGGTCTAAGAATCAAACCCAGCAGTTTCATTGCAAAAGTCTACAGGTTCTCAGTCTACCTTCATTGTTGTAGGATGGATGGATGCCGCATGTATGCATGGATGGATCACTGGCTGACTGGGTGATCATTCCTATGGTGAATTTTCAGACAGCAACCTAGGCAAGGGAAATATTCAGGCTCTGTCTTATCCTCCTACCAGCAAGACTGACCTTAAGGGTGAAAGATACTGGGAAAGGAGCTTGTTTATTCAAAATGTGAGGTTAAGTGAGGCAGATTGGAATGTTTCTGAGATTCTTATCACAGCAGCATCCTTGACCCTTACAAGTGACTCTGTGGAGGCTGGAGTCCCACATGCCTGTTATTTTCTTGATTCTATCTCTCTGTTCTTCCACTCCATTAAGCCAAAGGAACTTACCCAATGGAAATAATGATCCCTCCCTCTCCTCTCAATGTGTGTGTGGTGTTTTTTTTTTTAGCGTGATAAAAGCTAATCTAAGTGCTTTACACAAATCTATTAGGAGCTCTCTTATACTGAGAACCTCTCATACACCTTGTTTAACCAGTAAATTGGATCAAACCATTAACCTTATTTTACAGGAGAAGAAACTGAAGCTCAGAGAGGCTAAGTAATGTTAGTGAGGTACAGAGTTGGTAAGTGTTGGTGCCATAACCTGAACCCAGGTGTGCCTGACTCCACAGGTACCTGTCCTGTTGATGGGTACATTCCTTTTCTTTGCAGCCAAGGTTTCCTGACTTGAATGAGCATCAGAATTATCTTCAAGGCTTGTGAGAGCACAGACTGTGTGAGAACCAACCCCAGAGTTTCTGATCAATGAGGACTGGGTACTAGCAGGTGTTGCTACTGCTGTTGCTGGGCTGGAGAACAAATTTTGAGAACCACTAGCCTATGAGATTACTGGGCAGTTTAGGGTTCTACTTAAATATGAGAATCTAATGTATAGTTCCATATATTTGTAGAGCTATTTGTGCAAAGATATTCATCAATGCCTTAACAATGATAATCTCTGGGAGATAGGATTTGACAAATTTTTCCTTTCTCCCTCATACTTCGCATAATACAATATGTATTTTACTTGTTTGTTTGTTTGCATTGCTGGGGATGGAACCCAGGGCCTTGTTTATGCTAGGCAAGCATTCTACACTG